CTTTGGAGTGTATCGTTCATCTTCTCTGTTTGTCCATCGGTCTGTGGGTGGAATGCAGTGCTATACTTGAGCGTGGTTCCGTAGGCCGTGCATAGGTGTTTCCAGAATTGTGAGAGGAAGCGAGGATCACGGTCACTGATGATGTTCTCGGGGAGGCCGTGATGGCGAGCGACATGGTCGAAGAAGAGTGTGGCGACGTCTTTGGCACTGTGCGAGGTCGTGCAAGGGATGAAGTGGGCACGTTTGGTCAAGCAGCAGACAATGACGTAGATGCAATCATGCCCGCGATCGGTCTTGGGGAGGCCGCACACGAAGTCCATGGAGATGGACTGCCACCGGTGAGTTGGGATGGGCAATGATTGGAGCTTGCCGGGTTTGGCCCGGTTCAAGGGGTTGACAGCTAAACACGTGGGGCACGAGCGAATGTATGCCTTAACGTCAGCGAGTAGGGAAGGCCAGTAGAAGTAGCGGGACATGGTGTCGAAGGTCTTATGGAAACCGAGATGTCCTGCGGTCTTGGCGTCGTGGTGCTCGGCCAACAGCTGAGTACGGAGGCCTCGTGCGTCGGGGATGCAAAGTCGACGAGTGCCTTTGGTATCGATGTAGAGGAGATTGTTGTGAAGGGAKTAGTCGGGAACTGAGTCAAGATCGTGGAGCTTGTTGTAAATGGTGGCGAAGTCTGGGCAGGAGAGATAGCCTTGGGTGTATCGATGATGAAGCGATGGAAGGAGTTGAATATGAGTCATGGTGGCGTAAACTTTCTCGGGGGGCTTGTGGTCGTGTCGTCGCGAGAGGGCATCGGCAACGCGGTTGCTTTTCCCGGGGGTGTGGCAAACGGTGAATGTGAACTGGGCAAGGAAGTCTAGCCAGCGGGCTTGGCGTGGAGTGATATCTTTCTTGGAGAGGATGGAGGAGACGATGGTGTTGTCAGTGCGGATGGTGAAGTATTGTCCGTCGAGGTACGGGCGCCAGACTGTGAGGGCGTGAATCACGGCGAGGAGTTCCTTCTCGTTGGAGGGGTAATTCATCTCCGCAGGAAGGAGCTTCTTGCTTGCGAAGGCGACTGCTGATCGCGCGTCCTGTCTGCGACGTTAAATAATTCCTGAGGAGTTTGGGGGATCTCCTTAAATGCCTCCTGATCAGCAACATGTCCAGAAGTGACAGCCATAGTGTAGGTCTAGGCTAGAGACCATAGTTGACAGGATCCTTGTCCGGATTCTGTGAGTCTTAGATTGAGTCAATAGGTTGTCAGTCAGGGGTTAGCGTCGACGTGGTGAGGTTTGGAACCACCACCCGGTTGTACACTTTTCACCATGGTTGAGACCCGCAGTGGGAAGGGCACTAGCCCCTACACCAAGGAACAGCAAGAGAAGATGGCCGCCTTAGTTAAGGAGAATAAGGAGAGAAAAGAGCGCGAGAAGCAAGTAAAGTTAAAAGCTATCGCAGACGAGCAGGCGGCGAAGATGAGGGAATTAGAGGAGGAGATGGAGAAAAAGAAGAAGGCTGCTGAAGAAGAAGCGGCAGCAGAAGAAGAAAAAGAGAGAATGAGAATTGAGAGTGGAGAAGGGATCAGTGGTGGCACGATGAAGAGAGATACAAACATTGAGATTGAGAGGAAGATAAGCGAGTGGGTCGCTAATTTATCGTTGGGAGAAGACGAGGATGAGAGGGCTACGCTAGCCAGTGAGCTAGCAGCAATGACAGATCCAATGGAACGGCGAGAAAGGGGGGAGGAGCAGAAATTGGCGTGGAAGCTGAGGATGAAGAGGGAGAAGAAGAGGAGGAAAGAGGAAGTGAGCAAATTGACCGCAGAGGTAGCAAAGGTGCAGGAGTGCAAGCAGGAAGTGTTGGCCCAACCAGATGACAAGGCCAAGTGGGACAAGGTGTTGGGTTACCTGGAAGTGTTGAGCAAGACCGGGATAGAGGAGCGTCAGGCCAGTTGGAGCCAAGACGTAGCGTTGAGTGCCATGCGGTCGGGGTTCAGAGATTTTGCGCGCAAGATCGTCACCCACATTGGGGGCCCTGTCAGGCAACTAAAGGACAAGGGTAGGGAAGTTTTGTGAGGGCGCTATTGAAGGTGCCAAAGCCATAGCCGTTGTAGAGGGTGAGGCCAGACCTCGCAAGGACCCAGTCAAGCTTAAATTCGCGGATGCGTATGGAGGGAAGAAGGAAGAGAACTTTGACAACTAGGAAGCTAGTGTCAATAGTTATATCTATTTACAGCATATCCTGACAGAGGAACAAGTCCTCGTGGCCTTTCAGGCCCTTAAGGATGAGGCGGGTAGTTTTGCCAGGTCCCTTGCGCGCGTAGCCGGTTGTGAAAAGAACCTGGTTGCATATTCAAGAGTTACCCCCCTTCCTCAATTCTTCAAGCTCCTGAAGGAGCGATTCGCCGACCCAACGAGAGGCGTTAGAGCCTCTGATAAGCTGCAAACGATCCACTCACAACAGTGGAGGAGTGCGAGGGCACTCAAGGGTACAATGGACGACTTGGTAGTCGTCCCAGACCATGGGGTCACTGAGCCCCAGTTGGTCCAGTTATTTTATCGTGCCATGCCAGAGGCCCTACGTGGGCATTTCTTCGACAAGTCTCAACAGACCGTCATCACTTATGATGCATTGAGTAGGGAAGTGGTCCTGTATAAGTCGAAATTCATGCCAGTTACCACTTTCTGGCACAAGGACTTAGGTAAGGGAAAGCAGTGGAAAGGTTGTACCATCTCAGGTCAGGTGAGGGCCAAGGATCACATGATCCTTACTTTAGAAGAAGGTGGTACTTACGAGGTCCCATACAGTCAGATTGCGTGCAAACTAGAGAAGGAAGATAGTAGCGTGGGACAGGGGAGGTCCTATTCTGTTGTCGCAGCTGGAGGGAGGCCGCAAGGTAGAGGAGGAGGCCAGGGCCAAAGGGGCAAGGCCATGGGAGTCCGTGGACCAGGCGCACAGGGGGTTGGCGGGCAGGGAAACCGCCAAGTGGGAGGTAGGGGTCAAGGTCCCCCGCCAAATCGCCAAGGTTCTAATCGGTCCCCACAGCGAAGAGGTGGTAGAGCACCTCAAGGAGGATGGCACCCAGGCTTGCCACAGGGCAGGCCCTGGGAAGACTTGGGCTTGGACCGACAATTATGGCAGGAACGCGTGAACATGGGTCAGTGCGTATTCTGTGGTGACCCAGCTCATGTAATAGACAGGCCCGTTGGGCTGCCCAGCAGTCAAAAGGCAGCCGCCAGTAGGGGTCGCAACTGCCCCTACTTCAAGGCCATGTGGAGAAGTGAGCGCGCGCGAACAGGACACTCCCAACCCACATGAGCCTATGGCAGAGGTTGCAGGCCCGTGCCTAGCTAGCTATCCAGAGACCGCCTGTGTTAGCATCTCTTTAGGCACGTCCCTCACAGGTGTGGCAGAAGAGTTAAAGGAGAGGATGCCAACCTGGGCCAAGATGAAGAAGGAGAGTAAGGGACAACTGATTTTGATAGATGTAGAAGTTTTCAGGGGCAGAGTAGGGGCCCTTATAGATTCAGGGGCCAGCCGGAGTTACATTAGCTGCAGAGCGCTGAAAAGTTGAGGCTAGGACTAAAAGTCCAGAAGTTAGTAGACCCCATAGTCAGTGTCCTCGCAGACAACCGCACAATGCGTGTTGAGGACTACGTAGAGGGAGTCCAGGCGTACTTTCGCCTAGAGAAGGATGGGAAGGTGGTGAAAGTTTTCCATTCCCTGACTCTCCTCGTTCAGGATGACCTTCCTTTTGACATGATGTTAGGATTGGATTGAGGAGAGGCAGCAGGGGCCACACTCCATTTGAGAGAGCATGAGCGTAGGCTCCCTAGTCCATCAGGCGAGGTTAAGACTGCCCGCCTGTTCATGTGTCAAGTGTAGACAACATCTTGGCACATTGCTGTCTCAGTGCTCCCGCGTTCGCGCGACTAGTGAAAAAGGAGCAGTTAGATGATCAGGTCTTTGTAGTGTATGTTAGACCTGTCACTGAGGCCAAGGAAAAGGATAGTTCCACAGATCCAACAATTGCCAAGCTGCTGGAAGAATTCAAAGACTTGACTGAGTCGCCAACAAGAGTAGTGTCGCGACCCATCCAGCACAGGAAAGAGATAGAGCCTAGCAGCAGAACTCCTAAGGGAACAGTTTACAGAATGTCCCCTAGAGAGTTAGAGGAGCTTCGCAAGCAGTTAGACGAGCTCCTTGAGAAAGGTTGGATCAGACCCAGTTCGTCTCCTTTTGGAGCATCAGTCCTGTTTGTCCCAAAGAAGGAAGGAGAGTTGCATATGTGTATAGACTATAGGGGTTTGAATGCGATTACAATGAAGAATGCTGAACCGCTGCCCAGGATAGACGATCTCTTAGATCGGGTGCAGGATTGTAAGTATTTCTCCAAGATAGACTTGAAGTCCGGATACCATCAGATAGAGGTTTATTATGATGACCAGTATAAGACTGCGTTCCGGACTCGTTATGGGCACTAACCAACGCACCAGCCACTTTTCAGCGTTGTATGAATGATTTGTTCAGACCATGGTTAGATAAGTTTGTAGTAGTTTATCTAGATGATATCCTAGTTTTTAGTAAGACCCTCCAGGAGCACCAGGGTCATATGAGGCAGGTCTTGGAGAAGTTGAGAGAGTCAAACTTCAAGATCAACGCGAAGAAGTGTGAGTGGGCCAAGACACAAGTCCTGCACTTGGGCCATGTGTTGGACGAAGATGGCATTAAGCCAGAGGACAGTAAGATAGCGACAATTAGAGATTGGCCGACGCCCCGCACACTGACAGAGTTGCAGTCGTTCCTAGGCTTAGCTAACTACTATAGGAAGTTCGTGAGGAACTTCTCTACTATCGGCGCTCCCCTGCGCAGGTTGCTAATGAAAGAAGCAATCTGGCAATGGGACAAAGACTGTACATCTGCGCTCAAGAGACTGAAGCACGCACTAATAGAGTACCCTGTCCTCAAAGTAGCCGATCCGTCTTTGTCGTTTGTCGTCACCACGGACGCAAGTCAGTATGGGATAGGCGGCGTGTTGCAGCAGGATGACGGCAATGGCTATAGACCTGTAGAGTTCAAGTCCGCGAGGATGCCCTCAGAGAAGGTAGCCACCTCGACGTACGAGAGAGAACTCTACGCTCTCAGGCAGGCTCTAGACCACTGGAAGCATTACCTGCTTGGGAGGCACTTCAAAGTGTATTCTGATCATGAGACCCTTAGATAGTTAAAGACCCAGGTCAAGATGACACCTAAGCTAACTAGGTGGGCCGCTGAGATAGACCAGTACGACTTCGAGCTCAAGCCAGTAAAGGACAAGTATAACGTAGTTGCGGACGCTCTGAGTAGGAGATCAGACTACTTTGGAGCCATAGTACACTATCAGGATATAGGGAGAGACCTGCAGGAGAAGGTGAAGCAAGCGTATGCGCAGGACCCTATCTATAGGGACCTCCTAAAGAGAGTTAGAGAGGCCCCAGAGACTGAGCCAGATTACCGCACTACAGACGGATTGCTGTTTGAGAAGACTAATGTGTTTGACCGCATGTGCGTTCCCAATAGCGAGAAGATCCGCAGTCTGATTTTAGGGGAATGTTACGATACTGAAGGGCATTTCGGTTGGCAAAAGACATTAGCCAATCTGATGCCTGCGTACACCTGGCCAGGGATGAAGAATGACTGCGTAGAGTATGTCCGCAGTTGTAAAGTATGCCAGAGGAACAAGTCTACTACACGCACGCCCCTACGTCTTCTCAGACCATTGCCTATTCCGGATCAGCCGGGAGACTCAGAGTCCATAGACTTTGTGGACACCCAAGTCAAGAGTAGACATGGTAAGAGCCAAGTCATGGTCATAGTTGACCGTTTTAGTAAGTACGCAGTCTTTGTTCCTTTGCCTGTAGAGGCACGTACAAACTTAGTTATTCAAAAGTTCTTTGATCATTGGGTTAGTGAAAATGGAGTCCCATTATCGATAGTTAGTGATAGAGATAGTCGTTTCACCAGCCAGAACTGGCAAGAACTCATGAGAGTGTATGGATCTAAGTTATTAATGTCATTTGGCCGTCATCCAGAGACCAACGGTCAGAAAGAACAAATGAACAAGATCCTACTGCAAGTCCTGCGCATGTACATTAGACCAGATCAGATCAATTGGGATGAGATGTTGCCTAAGGTAGCTAGTGCATACAACAACACCGTGCATCTATCCACCTGCCGCACTCCCAATGAGCTGCACAAGTCCTTTAGACCACGYAGACCGTTCRAAGGACTGAACCGGGACCAGATTCACAGACTACCGCCCGGTACCAGGGAGTTTGTGATACAGCACGAGGAGGAATTAGCAACTGTTGTTGAGAATCTCCGGAAGGCCTAGCGTAGAATGATAGAATACGCTAATAAGCACCGTCGCCCATCACAGTTTCAAGTAGGCGACTTAATTTGGGTCAAGGCTAAAGAGTTTGCACCTGAGGAAAACATCTCGCAGAAGTTACTGCCTGCATATAAAGGACCGTGGCCGGTTCTAGAAGTTAAGGGCGGAGAGGATGGACCGTCCTACACTATAGAGATTCCAGCACACCTCCACACATACCCTGTGTTCCATGCTTCCAAGTTGTTGCCGTGTGTCACAAGTCAACAATTCCCTTCAAGAAGATCCATGATCCCCTCGGATATGGATGAAAGTTATGACATTGACGGCATTGTAGATGAAGATGTCTTTAGAACAGGAGGTAGAGGTCGTCCACAGAAACAGTATAAGGTCCGGTTTGCTTATCAGGAACTGGAGGATGACCGCTGGTTTACAAGAACATAACTTCTAGAAACAGCTCCCGACATAGTCAGAGCCTATGAGTGTGACAGGAAGGGTAAAGGTCCTGCCTTGGACTGAAATATTCTCGGAGGACCTCGAATTTAGGACGGCGGGAGTGAAACGGTTTTCACCTTCTAGCAGTAGCAGATGCAGTACCCAGGGTTCGATCCCTGGACCTCGCCCTACCCATGTACAGTATCTGTGTAGACCCCGAGAGTTGAACCTGTGACCTGCGTATTCATAGACAATTGGTAGGTCTGTTATAGGTCTGTGGTAACAGGGGTTCGATCTGTCGACCTTTAGAGTAGAAGTCTTAGCAAGTTCC